CCCCTCCCCGGGCCCCGGAGGGCGACTTCCCTCAAGGTCACCCCGGAGCCCTCGCCAGCAGGACGAGTCAAACAGATGGAAAGCGATAAAACTCTCCGCGAGGAGGCTAACGAGCGTTCAAGCACACCCCTCGCCGGGTCTGGGGCTCCTTAAGCCTTTTTAGGTGCTGAGGTGACAGGGCCCCACACGCCGGGCCTCCCCCTGCTCCTATGCCCTGGCTTCAGCAGGGCTGTCACTGACAGCAGGGCTAAGCCCTTGGTGTATTGGTTTGTTATGGTTGCTATTGTGGTTTTTTGTTTTGTGGGGGGTTAAAAGGTTGTGGGGGGGGGGGGGGAAGCACTCCAGGTGTGGTTCAGGCACACGTTGGGCTGTGAATCACCTCTGCAGGTCTTGCTGGAAAGGTGTAGATATGAGGACGGTAACATTAGTTTTGTTGCCTATGAGAGGAGGCTGCAGGTTTTCAGGACATATATCCTGGGGCTCTTTGGCATCTCAGTGAAATGTCTTCTCTTCGGTACGTGTATGTGAATCTTTTCAAAACTGTGCCCTAATAATTTGGCATTTTTTGAGGCCATGAAACTAGAGTTGGGTCAGCCTGAGCAGATCCTCTTCTGTTTCACTGGTGCTCTGTAGAGGTGTGGGAACGTGCTCGTATGGAGTGGCACAGAAAACAGACCTGCAGCTCAACCTGTTTGCATTACTGTTCAGGAGGTATAGATTTAGGGATTCAGGATTTATGGTCCTGTTGCTCTTGTCCGGGGAATGGTTTGCAGATTCTTCCTGCTTTGAGTGAGAGATGAACCTGTGAAACATCCATTCCCATGCAGTCCAGGCTCTCAGATGTCTGCTGGGAGTGTACGCAACAGTATTGCTACGAAAGGAGGCTGCTTGTAAAACAGTTGTAATTCCCTCAGATTCACCTTGCTGGTAGAGCAGGCTTTCTCCTGAGCAGAGCAGGAGCTGCCAGCGAGGGATGCGTAGGCTGGAGGGAGCCGAGGGAGTAGTTCCTCCCCTGGTGACTCATTTGTATGCTGCAATGTGCATGATGTCCCCAGCATGATCCAGCTGCTATGACATTGCAGGCTACTCTCCTGCAGGATGTCATCCAAGGTGAGAGGTGGGGACTGCTGATTGCATGCAGCTCCTGTAACAAACCCACTCCTGTGGGTGACCGTGGTAGAGGGAGCTGTGCCAAAACCCCCGGTGGGGTGCAGTATCTTGCCCCATGCTCTCTGAGCGTGCTGGGAGCTGTAGTTTTTGCTGATGCAGACAGCCGCATCCCTCCATGTGGTGCATCAGCTGCAGGTGGCGGGTCAAAGCAGAGAATGAGCTAAATTCACTGCAGGAGATTGCGTGGGCTGGAACTGTGTGGGTTTGGAGTTGGCAGGGGTGGCAAGGGACACTGCTGGGGCCTGCCCTGCCTTGTGATTCAGTTCTGCTGGGTTTCTTGTCACTCTGAATTGGAACAAGCTGGGAGAGGGAGTTAGCCAAGGCAGTCCAGGAAATTAATTTGTCAAACATGATTGTAATCAGGGAATTTTGAAAGACTGAGCCCAGAGTGAAACTCCATATGGACTGGGGAGGAATGACAAGATAGGTCCGCTTTAGAAACCTCCCCTGCCAGACTCTGTAGAAACCTGCTGAGGGTGAGTTGGAATGGAGCTGAGATCCCAGCCCTGGGTGGCAGAAGCAAAGAAAAGCTGGGCCCATTCACTTGCTGGTTGTGCACAGCAACACTCCCACCGGTTTCATGATGCTTCCCCAGTGGAGAGGAGCTCACTGAAATGATGTGGTGCTTGGAAGCTGTCTGCAAAAAACACTTCAGAGTGCAGTCTATGGCAGTGCCATATTTTTCTCCCTCCCTCCTTCCCCCAACAAAACTCTTGAGGCCAGGACTTCTCCCCCCCTCCCCCCACCATGTGCAGAACTAGACTGGGGAGAGGCTCTTTTGCCTGGGCACAGGCAGTGGCTAGGGGGTTGCCTGGTCCTCTTCTGGCGAGAGGCTCCCTGCAGGCCCCCAGGCTCAGGGTGTGGATGAACGAGCGAGACCTTGTGACAAGAGGCCAGGCCATCTGGGCCTCGACACCACCGAGGGCTCCATCTGTTTTAAGCTGTAGTGGGAATCAGGGGAGGGGACTGAACCTTGCTCTGACTGCCCTTTGAATGGCTCTTGTTTTTGCCCCCAGAAAGGAAGCGGTTTTACCAGAACGTTAGCATCTCGCAAGGAGAAGGTAAGCGTGGCCACTGGGAGAGGAAGGAAGGACTGGGAGGAGGTGTTGGTCCCTGGGGAGGGGGTTATCACTGCTTCCTTAGCAAGACAGTGGCACACCTGCAACCCGTGTCATATGAGTGGGATATTTGTCACCAGCCTGCTTTGTCCTTTCCTCATTTCTAGCTAAACCATGTGGCTGGATTCCAGCTCTGAATCTGCTCCCTCTGTGGGGTTGTCTGTTGTTCCTTAGGGCATGCTCCTCTTTAATTCCCCAGGATTTCTACTCTGATTCTCCAGGAGGCTTTGAAATAAACCTGGACCACCGGAAGCTGAAAACGCCCCAGGCGAAGCTCTTCACTGTTCCCAGCGAGGCCTTGGCTATTGCAGTGGCAACAGAGTGGGACTCCCAGAAGGACACCATCAAGTTCTACACTATGCACCTGGTGAGCACAGCAGGCCGGGGTGCCCAGATGGCTGCACCGCTGCAGCACCTCAGAGGAGCAGAACGAGGTGTGCTTGGAGCAGTCAGAACAAGGAATGTGGGATTCATGGGAGGGACTCGGAATGCTAGGGGCTGAAGAAGGGTTAGCCAGGCCCGCTGGGACCTGCTGAGGGTTTCGCCAGCTGGCAGAACGGATACCAGGGCAAGGTTTAAGAACCAGTTTGGGATGTAAGCCATGCTCTGGAGCGAATAAGATGAGGGCAGCTCCTGAAAATGTTTCCTTTTGCATCCTTCCTCCCACAGCTTTTCTGAGTATTTGCAGTAGAACTGAGATGGCTGGGTCTAAAACTGAAGTGACTGTGTAGATATGAGAATGGTCTCCGAGTGCAGAACATGGAGGAAGCAGATTGTCCTAATGCCAAAGGAAATGGGAACAAGAGATCAGGACCTTAGTTGTACACTGAGGAGAACCTTGCAGCTCCGTGGGCAGTTAGATGCTGCCGGGGTTACTGCCAGGGAGGGGAATCTGCCTCACGGAGGAGTTTGAGAAGGGGCTGGGCAGCATTATAAGGGATGGCATGGGGAGGGGGTGGAGGAGACTGGATGAGCTCTGGAGCAGTCTTGGAGCCCTCTGCTCTTGGTTTGGTGAGCCTGCCCCAGCAGCATCTGAGGCCAATGAGAAGAATCCTATTGCATGAGCCAAGCTCTGGCTCTGCATTCCCCTCTAGCTGAGCTCCTCAGTTCCCTCAACTTATCCTGAATTCCTCCACTTCTGCTTAGCCTTGTGCTATGGAAGCTAGTGCTTCCCCATGCCTTGAATAACAGTGGTTTGTATTGCTTTTATCCTACAGACCACATTGTGCAACACAGCTTTGGACAATCCTACTCAGCGAAACAAAGTACAGCTGATCTGTGCAGCTGTGAAGTTCCTGGAGACTGACACTGTCTGGTAGGAGACCGTCAGGGACCCTCTACTGGAGAGGCTGGGCTATCTTATTGCAGTGTGGTTTAGGAAAGGTGCCTGGAGGATTCAAATATGACAGGAGGGAAATGTCTACTGTAACTGAGTCCTTGCAGGGCTCTCACCTGTCCTGGTTTTGGCCCAAGGGTTTGAATTAGTTGAGGCCAGCCCTACCTTTGCAAACCTGGTGGATCTCCACGAACTTAAAGGGTACAGGTATGAGGGAGAAAAGGGACCAGGCATTCTGTTGATCTCTGTTTTGGGCACCTCCATGCTGGGCAGGGGCAGAAGCAGCAAGAAATGAAGTTTTCCATGGGAAAAAGAAAACAGCTCTCAAAGGCATGGGAGAATCTGTCAGCCCGGTCTTCTGGTCCTCCTGTACTGTGCAAGGAGGAAGGGGAGCTCAGATTACTTGTACCAGTAGCTAAATGCTTGTTGGTCCTTAAAGTCTCTCTGCATTGCAGGATCAAGCCTACTTCTGCCCCAGCTCATCTCTTGCAGTCCCAGCCTCCAAGGTGTCCACTGGAAACTGCTCGACCCCTGTGGGTAGAGGGGAACAGGACACCCCCCCACTTGGGCCTGTGGCTTTGGTCACAGTGGGCTGGGCTGGGTGGCAGCTGGCACCAGGGAGTACTGAGCCGAGCTGCTGGGCCATGGTGAGGGAGGAGGAGTGGTGCCATGTAAATAGTTCCAGTGGGATATGTCCCCTGCTCTAGTCACTAAACCACACTGCATCCCGTGGCTGGCTTGGGGCTATTGGTAATTTTCTGTTGACTATCTTGCTAGAAAACAGACGAGCAAACTAGAATTGTCCTTTCTAGGACAATGAAAGGCTCCGAATTCAGGGAAGAGTCGGGGGGGATTGTTCCCGGTCAGATCTGCTGTTGCTTGGGTGGAAAGCAGGCCAATGCTCCCCTTCTTTGGTCTATGTTGGGGATGGCTTTCCTCCCAGATGTGTGCCCCAGCCTGGCAGGGAGCGGTCTGACAGCTTGCAAGTGAAGATCCAGTGTGGTTTTATTCTGCAATGTCCCAGCTATCGTGTGGAGGAGCCAGCTGCCTTGGCAGAGCTGCAGAAGAACGAATGGGATCCCATCGTTGCCTGGGCTGAGAAAAGGTGAGAGGTCAAAGATATTTCTGTTTCCTTATACCCTGCCCTCCTGTGCCGCTAAGGCAGCATAGTGCTGTGATAACTGGGACCAGTCATGCTGGCCCCAGCATGTTGCAAGCTGTGCAAGGCCAGTAGCTCCAGCACTTGTGACTGTCAGAGCTGCAATGCACACAAGCCCTGTGCTTGTCTAAGGGACCGTGTGATCGTTGCAGGTATAACGTGACAATTGGCTCCTCTACCAGCATCACAGGGCCAAATATCCCAGCCAGCACCAAGGACACCTTCATCAGCCATCTGGCGTCTTACAACATTTGGGCTCTGCAAGGTGAGAGAGACTGGGCCGTGGAGAGCCCTCAGCTCAGGCTGTATGAGTGAAGGAGACAGTTCCCTTCAAAGTGAGAGAAGATAGACTATAATGTTTCTCCCTTCTTGCTGATGTGCTGAATGTCCTTAGCTTGTACTGCTGAATGAGACCTAAAGACAAAGAAATGGAGTGATCTGTTTGCTTTGCTCAAGTCCTCAAATGCAAGACTTGCATGAGCAGCAGACAGTGAAACCCACAGAAGATACTAGCTTGGCAGCTAAGGAAAGTTAACAATGTTGATTTCTAGTATAGGACTTAAGCCTTTCCTTTCCCCCGTAAAGATTTTTTTTTGATGAATCATTTCCTTTGCTCATAGTTTGTAACGTAGGAAAGCATGGTGCAAGGGAAAGGCATGCGTGTCCCTTGGGGAAGGGGAAAGCTCTGGGCGTTCATCAACTTAAGACCTGAAATCAAGGTCTGGCCTGGACTGGTACTGCAGGATGAGTCTGACTTCACTTCCTTCCTTAGATTCTGTGCATGTATGAACACCCCCACTTCCCATCAGTGTGAGCTGAGTCACAAGCGCTCAGCAGCTCGGAAGTTCGGGCCCCTCTTTCGTCGTCCTCCTCCCACCTCTGCATGTTCATGGGATTTGCGCCGGTCCCTCAGCCGTCAGATGCTAGCTATTCCACCCTAAAGAAGGGTGTCTGGCCAAGCTAGTGTCTGATGGCGTGGCAGGGAAGAGCTCCACTGCTTCGGTAGCCCAGCCCAGCAGCTGTGTCCTATGATGGCACAGTTCCTCCAGGGCAGAGCACACCACACACATATTCCACAATGTTTTTCCAGGAGTGATTACAGGTGTGGACAGCTCTTTTATCACCAAACAATGTACTTGTCCCTCTCATCCTGAGGGCTTTCAGCTGAGCTCCTTTGCAGTGGACAGACTACTGGGGCCTGGATGGGTGTCTCTTCCCTTTGTACAGCAAAGGTTTCTGGCAGAACAAAAGGCGCGGTTTCCATGGCATAGCCTTTGTCGCTGCACTGACAATCGCCAGAACAGCACTTTGTGTCTGCCGTTAACTGCAGATCTGACTCTTAAGTACCCAGATGCAAGTGGGGGGGGGGGGTATCACTGGCCCTGCCAATCTCCCTGACTATGTACCGTACCCCAGCTGTCCCTTACCACACCCTGACTGTCCCTTCAGAGTGTGTGAGATGTTGCTGTAATGCTGCAGAAAACAACCATGAAAATCTTGTTTGTTTTGGGTTTTTCCCCTCCAGGTATAGAATATGTAATCACCCAGCTGAAATCTCTGATTCTGTCCATGGGTCTGATTGACAGGCACATTACAGTAGAGAAAGCCGTGCTTCTGTCTCGCCTCGAGGAAGAATACCAGGTAAATTATGTTACAAAACAACCCTGTAATTCAAATAACAATAATCTCAGCACGACAAACGCTTCTCCCACCACAAACAACTGGCAGTGAAAGCGTCTGCTATTACAGGAGAGGTTCCACTCTGCCAGTCTCCCCGTTTGAGAGAGTTTGGAGTGTGCTGCTTCTAGAGCAACACGATGGGTGCAACAGCCCGGAGTGCTCTTGGGGCTGCCAGTTTCTTTTTGCAAAACCCACATTGCTGCTTTTCCCCCCTCTAATCTGAACTGCAAAGTCATGGATGGCTTCTCTTGCTGTGGGTTATGCAGCCCAGAGGCCTTGCTAGGCACTAAACTAATAACTTCCTTGCTGTGAGAGCACAAACTGGAAATTGTCCTGGCATGAAGCTCTCCCTGACCTCAAGGCAGCTGAAGTTGATGGGAATCTTTTCATCCCTCCTTTAAGGGGCTTTGCCGTAGACCCCAGTACAGATGAACCATGCTCTTCCGCAGCACTCCTCTGGAGATGTCCCTACCCTGATAATTGGTGTTCAGCAACGCTCTCTACAGCTCCTGGGGGGTTACTCATGTTTCACAAACATGAAAAGGGAGGCTGAGAGTTGCTGAGCAGCCCTACGTATAATCCAGTTCTGAACTGACTTGTGTTCTTCGTCTCCCCCAGATTCAGCGGTGGGGCAGCGTGGAATGGGCCCATGACTATGATCTGTGTGAGCTGCGTGCTCGTGCCGCAGCTGGGACTCTCTTTGTTCACCTCTGTTCAGAGAGCTCAACTGTAAAACACAAGCTGTTGCAGGACTAAGGCTGTCAGGCTGCTGAGTTGGGCACAGGAGGAAAAATGCCCAGCTGTGAATTGCTGGCACACCCCAGAGGATGGTAACCACCACCCTGCCACCACATCTTCCCTGGGATCAGTCTCACGCTGAGGGGTTGAGACTTTGTGGCGATTCCTCACTTGAACTGATTCCTGCAGCGCAGCACCAGCAGTTTTGAGCCCATGAGGAGGAAAGGTCAGGGTGAAATCCCTTTGCGTACTCAAGATAACTGCCCTTTCCGTTGCTAGTGTCGTCTGTAACTCATTAGAGGAACACCCACCAAAGAAACAGCTTCCTGGACAAGGCAGGGCATGGCACAGACATACCCAACATATGCCACATGTCTTCATAGCTGCCAGCTCCTGACACACACTTGTTATGGAAATCTGAAAACAGACTCCACTGCATCTGTTCTCCATCCCTCAGTGTGCCTGTATGTAACACAAGGGTCTCCATGTTTGATTAAAGGCACATCCCTGCTAGGTACTGAAAGCTAATGCATCTGAGTATTTCTTTGTTTGAATAACCAAACCATGGTGTAGCCCGAGCTGCCAGGCTCTAGGCAGGTGCTGGGATGGCTGCAGGCAGAGAAAGACAGGGAGCAGAGCCGAGCAGACGCTAGCTAGCAAACAGATTTGCCTTCTCTGAACTTCTGTTTGATTTCCCCCCCCCACCCCACTCCCCACCATGCTAGGCGCCCTGTCCTTGCAGCCAAGGAGTAGCAGGGAGCTGACTGCAGCACTGGAGCAAGAGAGGGGGGAACCTAGGCACCAGCCATCCTCAAAAACCTAAGCCTGTGTACAGTCAGGCAGCCTCAGCCACAGTGCTTTCAGAGAGATCTCTCTCTTCCCCAGAGTGCATATGCAGCCGTGCTTTCATTTAGCCTTCCCACCTTTCTTGTCGCTGCTTGCTTCCAGCAGTACCACACTGGCCAGCATCGTTCCTCAGAAGCTGACCACATGCGAGCGTAGCAGCTGCTGTCACCGAGCAAGGAGGGGAATTAATGACTCCTCGCTTGGCTGTTGTGAGCAGCAGTGTGTGAGCTCCAGTGGAACCATTGATTTCCCTTCCTGCTAGCTGGGGGCTGCTCTGTTCATGCTGCAGAAAGCTGCCTTTGCAAGAGGCGGTGAGAAGACAAGGCTCCCCAGAGCACAGAGCCTCAGCCAGCTTCTGCTTGCTGAGCTGGAAACCTGCCATTATTTTGGGGGTGGTTTGATGGAGAGCACTCTTCTCCCAGGCTGCTGCTGTGTGCCTGTGGCTCACAGGTTCCTGCTGCTGTGCTTGCAGGTACTAAACCTTTCAGGCATGATGTGCTGCGATGATTTGGTTCAATCAGCTCACAGCTGATCCATAACCCCTTGTGACCAGGTCTGAGCTCTGTCTAAATGGGTTTCATGCCAATGTGATGGAAAACACAAGGTTTCAGGTGCTTTTCCACAGTCAATAAGCATCTTTTATTTGCAGTTTCTGGTGGGATGGAGGAAGGAGCATGCCTCTGGCCAGACAGTTGAGGTATAACTGCCCCTGTTAGGTATTCTGCTGCTGGGGGCTGTCCTGTGTGCACCCCAGAAAGGCACCTGCCCAGCCCATGGCATACCTACTCTGGCGGCTCCAGGGCCTCCATGTTTTCCAGCTCCTCTTGGAGATAGTCAATGTACTGAATGATCTCTTTGACACGGTTGCGGTTTCTGTCAATCTCGTTTTGGAGAGCCTGAACAGATTCAAACCAAGCCCTGAATCCACAGCATTCTCAAGGTCACTGGCTGTAGCACGCAGGGGCCCAGCGAAAGGGAGGGTGTTCTTTCCTAGCAGTGTCCTTGCTGCTCAGACCCGACCTGGCACCCCCTGACCAGACCTGTCTGTGCCTCATCCTCACAAGAACAGGAGGATCCCTTACCTTCTCTGTCACAGAGGCCTGCCAGCGATGTACATTGCTGAGGATGTCACCCTCTCGGTTATCAATCTTCAACAGGTGGATGTCGTGGGATGCGTTCACTGCGTTGACAATGGTGTTTTTGTCCACAAAAAGCTAGGAGGTAATGTGACCAGATCAGGGGAGGGGGGAGGCGGGTGTGCAGCAAAGCAGCAGAGCTCAGAATTAGCAGTGCAGTAACTGCTCTGCCTGGGGGAAGAAAATAAGACCGCTGTGTTGTACTGACGGAGCCCTAGTCATTGGGATGAACCCAGTGCTTTATCATTTGGAAGTATGTGCCCAGGCCTCGCTACAGCTGTAAAGGAGTATTAACCCTTGTACAGATGGGGAAACTAAGGCAGCTCCCTTGCCCTCACCTGCCTGACAAGCTACAGCAGAGAGCCAATGCCTGCTCCTGCGCGCTCTGCTGCCTCGCAGCACACGGCAGGCCCCTGTGGGCAGCTGTCGTTGAAGCAAGGCTGCATATGCTCCAGCATGCCTAGCCCAGCAGGTGCGGGAAGTGGAAAATCACACTTGGAAGGGTCTCTTGAACTGGTGGCACTGGCTGTAAATCTTCATTTTTGTAGAGCCCTAGCTTCTAATAGAGGCAGCGACTTCCCCCGTGGTTTTAAATAGAGGGTGGCTTCACTAAACCGTAATGACTCTCCTCCTGCAGCCAAGTGCAGCTGTTGAACAAATGAAGATTGCTTCTCCATGGAAATGGATGGCGGTGAGGCAAAATGGGTGCACAGCAGCAGTGCGTAACCACAGCCATCTGCACAGGCTATAAAGCAGGGAGCTCCCCCAGGGGGCTGAGGGGTCTGTTTTGTGTCTGTCAGCTTGTGATTACCCAGAGTAAGGGGGGGGGAGGGGGGGGCTGGAATAATCTGGACAGAGCAAAAAGACAGTGAATGCAAAACTTAAGTCAATTAGCTACTAAATGAAAGAATAACGGAGGAAAAAAGGTCAACAATGTTGCTGACTGGAGCACTGCAATGATCTTTGTGCGTTTCGAAGAGCTCTTGGGATCTTTAATATCACAGCAAGACTAAAGCCTCAGTGGGTGAACCCATTTGAAAAGCCATGTCCTGCCTCCAGGACAGCTAAGAGGCTGGGAGAGCTCTGGGAAGGGGTTCTGAAATCACTGAAGCAAACAGAATCCCAGGGCAAGGGAGTCACAGCAGTGTTTGGATTCTCCAGGAGTGGGCAAGGCCTTACAAAACCAGCTGAGTGCAGCAAAGAAGATGCCTAAATGCCTGCTGGTTTGGGGCTGCCTGGAAGTGAGCCAGAGAATTGAGTTGTGCTGAAGGTAGGAGAGAGATTTACTCGGCACCTCTCCTGGGCTGCTGCCACCAGCTCTTGCAGAGCCCAGGGAAACCTGCAGTGCAGTCATGCTCTTTCCTAGTCAGCAAAGATGCCCAGCAGTGCTGTAGTTCAGCCAGGCAGCTGGGGCCATCTGGAAGGAAGTTAAGCTCTAGTTTAGACATAGCTCTAGCTATACTAAGCCTCCCTAAAAACCATCCCTTCTGAGAAGAGGCTGTGGCCTCCTTTTATTGCTCGCTCTCTTCCAGAGCTCCATTTTTTTTGTGTCCTCACCATTCGAACGTCATCTGGCAAATTCTTGTCAAGCTCGTTCTTGACGGATTTCTCCAGCATGTTGACTGAGATCTCTAGCAGCTTTTCATGATGACGGTTTTCCAGGTCTCGGCACTGGGCCATCGTACAGATGATTAAGGAAAAGGCTGACCACATTGTTCACTTTGAGATGAAACTTGACCTGCTATAATTAAATGCTGAGACTCAGAAAGAGCAACATACTGCATAAGAGAGGGCTGCTAACCCTAATGCGGGTTTGCAGAAAAGTGCTCTGTTGCCTTGCGTCCTCGTTGCAGGCAACACATCAGCAATAGAAAAGAAACTTAAAGAGGAATTGTAGGTATTTAATTGGCTACTATGTCAGGAACGCATACAGAAAACAGTCTAACCAGATTTTCCAAGAGTTGTCATGCCTGCCTGGAGAACAAAGGAAGTCTCAAAGGGTAAAACGTTGTCCAAGTGCTACAGATGTTCAGCAAGGGAGAATTTAATCAGAGCCTCTTATGCCTTCTAGAGACTCCCCAGAAAGAAGTTTGGCACCTGAAATTTCATCCCCCTGCTACTGTTGATCTGGGAAGCATATGGCACTTGTATAGTTTGGCTAAGAAAAATACAGAAGACCTCTGGGAAAAGCTGGGAAAAGGCCTTTTCTATTAATGAAAAAAAAATCCAATTCTATTCTGATGGCTCAATTCTGGATTTAGAAGTGCGGTATACGTACCTCACTTGGACATCCAGGCGAATATACTTTCAAAAGGATATATCCCCTGAACGTTTTCAGTGAATGTTGACACTAGCTCAGCAATGTTTCTTTCAAAATCCTTTATTAGTTCCTTAACAGAGGGAAAAAGAGGAAATGTTGTAATGAACACTTGCATCAACAGAGAAGAGAGTCTTGGAATAATCAAAAATCCATTATAACTTGGATTCACTGTTGTTATTAGTGAACGAGTATGAACTGCCTCAAGCACATGAGCTGTTTTGAAAGTGCTGCAGGAGTTTCTTTTCTGCATTGGTATGTGACAGACAGAAAATCAGAATCGATTTATTGGAAGGAAGTTGATTGAATGATACTTTCACCTGGCCTCTGGAGGAAGCCAGATGATCACTTCTTACCCTCATATATAAAATGCACAGAGAATGCTGTATTTCTGCAAACTGCCATGCTGCAGTCTCCTTGCAGGTACAAGGAGCCTCTTGTCAGAAGCATAACCAACTCCCAGGCTTATTGCAGCTTTTGTTTTAGTCCTCAGATACTAAACCTGCTGCTACCTATTACCTCTCTCAGAAACGGCTGATGGAGAATCTTTTAGGTCTTGCACTTAACATCTCACTACAACAGTTCAAATACATCCACCAGAACCTTGCACATCCAGAAGGGAACGCTTCTGATCTTTCCATCCGTGATCGTAAATACATTAGGACCAATTCAGATAACATTAAAAGGCACAGTCCTGATGTATTGAGGAATCCATTTGGAGCTCTTGCTCTCTGTCATGCACATTCACAAACTAGCAAGCAGGAGCCCTTAACAGATTACTAAAAAAAAAAAAAAAAAAAAAGAGAGAGAGAGAGAGAGAAAGATGCCCATTTGCAGCCCTGCCCTAGTTTTTGAGGGAAAGTCTGGGAAGAAAA